TCCTCCTTCTCCCAGTCCTTATCTGTGACTAAGTAACCGGTCCGGTTTCCTGGAGGCTTTACTCACTTACAAGCCACAGGCTCTAGCAGCCTCAGTGGTAATTTTACCCTTGCTTAGCACAAACTACAATTCTCCCATTTCTATCTCTTCCCAGATTCTATTCATTTCTATTGCCTTCCTAACATAGAATGAAAAAATATTTTTCTCAAATAAAATACATGGCATTAACATACAAACTGAAATGTTAGTTTGGGCTAAAAAAAAGACCATTTTTTCCACCTCTGAACATACATGCAGAAGAAACTTTCCTGCAATACCTAACTGTAGGTATTGCCAATATGAGTTTCTAAACCAGTCTCTATTTACTAAATACTATGCTACAGTTAGCAGCACTAAGTTTCTTGTGCAGCGTGAACATCAGACAGAAATTGTGAGACACAAATGAAAGAAAAGAAGCCGTGTCCTTTATCATCTTACTGCTTTTAGTAGTATATTCCTACTTTGTTATTCATTTTCTGTAGCCTCTTCTGTGTCTCTAACATTTACAGACCTCAATCAGAGCACTCTGGCAGGCACTGGCCTGAAATAACAACTTTACATTGTTGAATGAACGAGTTAATAAACACAGAAATCAAAAACTGATTTTGTGGTTGTATTATTATTACCCTAATAATGTGCTTTCGTTTTCCAGTTTTCTTTATTAGAGTTCTTGTTTTCTCTTTGATTGTGCTTCCAGTTACTATACAGTTTTCAAGAGTACTTTCTGTTTTTGCTCCCTTCTTTTTGGAAGAAAGAGATTGAGTTAAGTTGGTAAACTGAGAGGTCAGATGAAACAAAGATGTATTTTTAAACGTGTTGATAAATTCAGAAGTATTACATAGCCTTCTGTCTTACTTACTTCTATAGTCCTGAAACTAAGATATATTGGAAGAAGTAGTATAACATCTTTTCATTTATTGAAATTTCAAAAGTATCCCTCTTTCCTAAATGTTACAAGCAGTCATAGAAGATGATTATATTAGCAAATGGATCATCATGGTGATATTATGATCCATAAAATCATTCCCTACCAGTCATTCTCTGATCCAACTTATGAAGGACTTCATAAATTGAAGGGGTCTGTGCTTTAGGTGTTAGTCTAAACGTCATTACTTCTGAGGAGTTTCCTGATGTGCCTTATTATACAAATTTGGGTAGATACTTCCCACTGTGGGCTCCTACAATATCCCATTATAGAATTCTTCATATCTTATATTAACTGCTTGTTTTATTAGCTATTTTCCATTAATTCATAGTGTCTCTGAATACAACCATAAGTTTTGTTTACCATTTTAGAGGCCTGGATAATATTAAGACATTATAAACAGTTATTAAATGCGAGATGAATGGATGAAAGGAACGTTCTAAATACTGTGGAAGCCTATTGCTCCATTTATTTGGTACTCAAACTGCAATCATGTGGACAGTGCTTTTAGAAATATTTCCCTTATGACTGGGATTTCACCAACTCCTTCCTGTGATTATCACAAAGTGTTATTTCCTTTTCTGATTCCTCCAGGAGATAAAGATACAGATTACAGATTTCAAGTGACTTTCTAAAAAAGATTTATTTATTTCTATTTGAAAGGCAGATTTACAGAGAAGAAGACACATACACATAAACAGAGATTTTTCATCTGTTGGTCTACTTCCCAAGTGGCCACAATGGCTGGAGCTGAGCCAATCCAAAGCCAGGAGCTTTTTGGGCTCCCACATAGGTGTAGGGGTCCAAGATCTTGACCCATTCTCTGCTGCTTTCCCAGGTTACAAGCAGGAAGCCGGATTTAAGTGGAGCAGTTGGGACACAAACCCGTGCTAATATGGGATGCTGTTGTCACAGGCAGAGAATTAACCTGTTATGCCACTGTGTCAGTACCAGTTCCAAAGGATTTTAACCAAAGTGTTTCTTCTTGTTTCCTATGTCATTGTTTTGGAGTCAGCCCAAGCTATCTACACTGTACCATCTGCTCTGTGTCTCAGATCTCTCATTTTCTCATCTGATTTTTCCCTGCATTCAATACTAAATTCTCTTTCCTTTGATCATCTCCCAATGTACAGGTGATTATCCTCTTTTTGATAGAAGTGAGAGATTGTATAGGTAATCTAAAGAAGCGGATTGTTTAAACATTGTCCTAACATTCTCTGATTGGCCTCCGAATGCATCATGTAGATTTTCATATAATTAGATAATTCAGTCACTGTTCAGAAAATGGAGACAGCTTCTTTAAGTGACAGTCTAAATTTGAAAATCAAAGCTGTTTTTAGCAATTGACTGACTGTCTTTAAGGTAACAAAAATACCTACCATAAACCTCAGATTTCAAAGAAAAAGGAGCTACGGGGCAAGAGCAAAGAATAAGTGGAGAATAAAGGCATGAAACGTCTGTAATCACAGAAATTATTATTAAAGGTAATTTTAATAACTAACAATAATAACATAAGATTTAGCATTCAACAGAGTTAACAAAGCAAGGCCTTCTTACTGTTCCTAAGAGAGAGGACTGATAGTAGTTTGGAGTCTCTTTTATAAATGGAAAAGCCCACAGAAATCACCTGGCTAAGGACACAGCTCATCAGATTTCAGATCCCATGCCCTTGATCTCCTATTCAAACAACCCCATCACTGACTTATCCAACTACTCCTACATGGCTGCATTTTAGGGAAACTCTATCTTATCTAATCACCATGAGCTTAAATGGGGACTTCATAAGGATTTCTTATAACTTCTACTAGTAGAGAAGAAATGAAAACCTCACTTCTGACTTTTGGGTGAGAATTGTAGATATACAGGCATTAAAAATCATTCTTTGTCCATCTCTTATTTACTTTTGAAAGCCTAGGCCTAAACATTCAATACACACTGTAAGAATGACAATTCTCCCTTCCTGGGCTGCATTACCTATTACCGAATTAACACGTTGTGCTTACAATACTGCACTGTGGGGCTGTTGTGGCATAGCAGGTAAAGTCATTCCCTGTGGCATTGGCATCCTGTATGGGTGCTTATTCTTATCCCAGCTGTTCCACTTCCCATCCATGTCCCTATTAATGGCTTAGGAAAGTAGTAGAAGATGGTCCAAGTGTTTGAGCCTCTGCCAGCCACGTGGGACCTGAAGAAACTCCTAGCTACTGGTTTAGTCTGGCCCAGCCTTAGCTGGGGTATAGGCAACCAAAGGGAGTAAACCAACAGATGGAAGATTTTTTTTCCTCTCTCATTGTCTCTCCCTGTCTCTGTAATATTGAGTTTCAAAATAAATAAATCTTTTAAAAGGCCCTTTTGTTTTCAATTGGTTGAAATGCTATTGCATTGCGTAGTAAGTTTTTAACTTCTTCAAGCTAGGTATTAAAAGTTACAACTGAGGGTCCGGTATGGTGACCTAGCGGCTAAGGTCCTCACCTTGAACTACAGGGATCCCATATGGGCACCGGCTCTAATCCTGGTGGCCCTGCTTCCCATCCAGCTCCCTGCTTGTGGCCGAGGAAAGCAGTTGAGGAAGGCCCAAAGCCTTGGGATCCTGTACCCGCATGGGAGACCTGGAGGAAGTTCCTGGCTCCTGGCTTCAGAGCAACGCAGCACCAGCTGTTGTAGTCACTTGGCGAGTGAATCATTGGATGTAAGATCTTCCTCTCTGTTTCTCCTCCTCTGTGTATATATGACTTTGCAATAAAATAAATAAATCTTTTAAAAAATTTAAAACTGAATCCTTGAATGTTCAGACCATGTGTTATTTGATTTTACACCCCAGCTTGTGGCACACTTTATATCGTACTTGTTAAGTGTTTAATAAATATTTTTTGGTGAATGAATGCCAGACAAGAACTGTTAGGAACATTTCAGCTCACTTAGTGCCCCAATCCTTTCCAAGGACAAAAGAGGGCGTTGGATAATGTACCTGGCTCCTAGAGGTAGCAGACAGCCTCTCAGTCTCTAAAACCCCAGTGATACGAATTTCTTTGTAATTTGAGTATTGTTACAAATACAGAAAAAAAGATACCATTCCTAACTCAATACTCAAAAGTGCTTTTCCACGATTATTTCCAATAGGATTTTCTTTCAGAACTATTTTTATACATGAGCTACTCAGTTGTACATTCATTTATTCATTCAGTTCATATTTATTGAGGGATCACCTGTTGCAATTTTTCTGAAAAGATTTATTTATTACACCCAAGAGGTATCAAAATCCTCAAAGGGTCCACATTTCCTGGGAAAGAAGCTGACTGTGCAAAGAAAAATATGTTATTTTGTAGAGAGGTTCACTGAAATTGTAGACAAAAGATGTCTAGCAATTCAGAATCAGCAAATCTAATGCCTCTCAAAATATGATATTAGGACCATCTGTATTACATGGAATCACTTGGATTATAATTACTAAAACTAGAGATCACTTGGATCCATTCCAATTCTATTCAATGAGAACATCAGGAGTGACACTGGAAACTAGACCACCGTGATTTTCACCATATTTGAATTAGAGAAACACTGACCTTTGTGGAATTATTTTATATGATAAAGTTTCCTCCTCCTTCTTACAAAATGCGACTTTACTTGGTTGATTCTAAGACACCTAGGAATTGCATAAACTTGGCTCAGAATTACTAACTACCCCAGGACCAGAATTTTACAGAATGACTATAATTACTGGTCTCCCCATAATGATCTAAATTAAACTCTAATCACAAAATGTCAGCCTATCCTTTCCCTATTGAAGTCACAATTTAGAAGTAGGTTATTTTACAAAGAGAACCTTTTAAACCTTGATTGACACATACAGACACTTGTGAATTAGGAAAACAATAAAAGACAATCATCAATTGTGAGAAGTAACTTTAGCCTAAAGTATTTCACTTCGTTTTTTCCCCACCCTGGTTGCCACAGTGCTGAAGTCCAGTTGGAACCCGGGACTTCTTGTGTTATTCCCGAAACTTGCTCCTCTTCTTTCTGGGATACTTTTACTCACTTTCTGAATTTTCCTAATCTGGTCAGAGAGTGTGTCTAACAGGCGAGTTTTCAGGAAGTCCATCACCTTGACCACACGGCCATCAATGTAGCAACTGGAATAAAAATAAAGTAAGAATCAGATAAAATCTCAAGCAGAGGACTACAAATATACCTCTCCAGCCTGAGGTCTTTGTTGCCTGAAGAGCCCATGTTCCACTTGGGCTCTCATATGACCAATAACTATCTATCAAATAAGCAATGCATATATTTCTTAGTTCTTTTTAATATCCAACTCCATTTGTGGGATAAAGCCATGAGTTTCTTCAACTTCTGTAAAGTGAACACTATTAACTGCTATATGGGAATTGATAGAAATTCTACAATATAAATTGGATAACAGAAACAAGCTTACTTTCTTTCCCTAGGGAAATGCATGTATCACACATTCATGTCCAGTCTGATCCCTACCTTAAAGTAATAAAGGTATGAGGGAGGTTTTTATACTTTTAAGTGAGAAAATACACCAAAGCAAATAAGACAAACTCTATCAGAAACCTAACAACATTCTTTGCAAAATTAGAAAAAAAAACCCTAAAATTAATATAGAATCACAAAAGAATCAAAATAGCCAAAATGATCCTGACACTAAAAAAAAAAATCATATTGGGATATCACAACACCTGGCTTAAAAGCATAAAACAAGATATTAAAACAGCATGACACTGCCATAAAAACTGACGGATCTATGGAACAGAATAGACAGTCCAGAAATTAATCCACATGTATAGGTGATTAATTTTTGACAAAAGTCACACATTGACATTGAAATAGGGATAATCAATTAAATAAATGGTGCTGGCAAAACTAGATGTTCATATGTAGAAGAATAAAATTAAATCCATAATCTTTCATCATATATAATAATCAACTGAAGATCTAAGTGTAAGATCTGAGATTATGAATTTGCTGGAAGAAAATATGTGGGAAACACTTCAAGATATTGCTACAGGTTCTTGGATAATATCCTTAAAGCACAGACAAAAGAAGGAAAACTAAACAAACGGGATTACAAAAAACTCCTAAGCTTCTGTAGAGCAAATTAAATAAAGTGAAGATAGACACCTAGTGGAATGGAAAAAATATTTGCAAGTTACCTATCTGACAAAGGGGCAGTAGCCAGCCTTTAGATGTCAGTAACTCAAAACTCTCAACAGCAAAAAGAAAATAAACACAATCAATCCAGTTAAGAAAAGGGCAGAGCTCCATAGATCTACTGTACAACACAGAGCCCATCATTAAAAATACTTCATTATCTTTGGGACCCTGCACCTGCATGGGAGACCGTAAGAGGCTCCTGGCTTCAGATTGGTTCAGTTCCAGCCATTGCGGCCGCTTGGGGAGTGAACCATTGGACAGCAGATCTTCCTCTCTGTCTCTCCTCTGTATATCCAGCTTTCTAATAAAAAAATAAATAAATCTTTAAAAAAACACTTCATCATGCACTTAAAAATTTAAGAGACAGTACATTTTTTTTCTTTAAAAAAGAAAAGAAAATAAAACAAATGCCCCCAGAATACACTTGGAACACATATTGTTTGGAAATAATAAATGTATTTGCTAACTTTGTCATGTTGATGGGGTCATGGATGCTTGTCTGTGTCCAAACTTGCAAAACTGTGTGTGTTAAACGCGTACAATTTTTGGTATATCAACCATATTTCAATGAAGTTGTAAAATAAACATTTCAGGGGAAAACATGCAGGGAATGGCACAGTGGCTTAGTGGGTAAAGCTTCCTCCTGCAGCAGGGAATCCCATATGAGTGCCAGTTTGAGTCCTAGCTGTTTCACTTCCTACCGAACGCACCTAGAAAGCAGCAGAAAATCTTCCAAGACCTTGGGCCCTGGAATCCACATAGGCGACCTTGAAGAAGCTCAAAGCTCCTGACTTCAGACCATTACAGCCTCTCTCTGTAACTCTGCCTTCCAAGAAAAAAAAAGGGGGTGGGGCAGGCATGATAGTGTAGCCGCTAAAGTCCTCGCCTTGAATGTGCAGGGATCCCATATGGATGCCGGTTCTTATCCCCCTGCTTCCCATCCAGCTCCCTGCTTGTGGTCTGGAAAAGCAGTCGAGGACAGCCCAAAGCTTTGGGACCCTGCATCCGTGTGGGAGACCCGGAAGAAGTTCCTGGCTCCTGGCTTTGGATCGGCATAGCATCGGCCATTGCACTCACTTGGGGAGTGAATCATCAGACAGAAGATCTTCCTCTCTTTCTCTCCTCCTCTCTGTATATCTGCCTTTCCAATAAAAAGAAATAAATCTTAAAAACTAAAAAAAGAAACGGGTGAAGGGCCTCAACAGATAATTCTCAAAAGAAGAAATACAAATGGTCAAAAAATATATGAAAAAGTGTTCAACATCATTAGCCATCAGAGCGGTGATACCAGCCCTGGCAAAGTGACTGTTTTCTAAGAGACCGAGAGTAACAAAAGCTGGTGAGGGTGTAGAGGGAGGAGAACTCACATACTGTTGGTGGAGATGTAAATTAATGCAGCCACTGTAGAAAAGAGTATGGAGATTTATGAATATACTAGAAACAGATTTGTTTTCTGATCTAGCAATCCCACCAGTGCCCGTAGCAATCTACTCAAAGGATATGAGCACGTTGCATCGAAGAGATACCTGCACCACTATGTTTATAGGAGCACTGCTCACAATAACCAAATTATGGAATCAATCAACCAGGGTGCCCATCAACAGTAGAATGGCTAAGGAAAGTTGGAATATATATACACACATACATGCACATAATATTTAGCTTTTTAAAAAGACAAATTCTACCATTCGCAGCAAAATGCATGCAACTGAAGGGTACCACGTTGAGTGCAACAACCTAGACATAGAAAGCTAAGTACTGTATGTTTTTCCTTGTATGTGGGAGCTAATATTTAAAGGAAAATAAAACCATCAAAAAACAAAAATAAGAGAAATGCCTCTTTGAATCATTAACACTGCAAATATAGGTTTGTCTAACTCTTACATATTTTCATCAAACCAACAGCTAAGAATGATATATTACTATAGTTTTAATGTTGTGATTGCTTTAAAATTTACTGCATATGAGTTGGCTATCTTGTCATTTCACTATTGTCTATACTCCTTGCCTATATTCCCACGGAACTAGAACCTCTTCTACTTTTGAACTGTTTATTCAGTTGAGCATTAAGCCTTCCCTTATAATGTAAATTAAAAGCTTCCTCTCACAAATTTAAGAATTGGAGAGAGGGAGAGACAAAAAGAGAGAGCAGGGGAATACCATTATATTCCTAGAATTGTATTTGTGAACTACATTGAGTCAGTCCTCTTTATTAAGAGTAATTAGTGCAGTTAGTAGGTCTCTAATGTTCTCAATCCATGTTCTACCATATACAGATGAAAATGAATCAACAAATGAATTGACAAATAAATGAACTAAACTAATTACATTTCAAGGGACCCTTTCTGAAGCAGGAAAGATTTGGTATTTGCTGTTCTTGTTTTGGTTTGATTTTGATCTGATTTTCATTAGGTAGCTTAAATGAAACATCATGTTGCGCTGACATCATGTCATGAACATTTGACCAAAACAGGACAATCAGCTCATGGGGCCTCCTCTGCAGCATATTTTACTCTGAAGATGCTGGGACTGGCCCAGGGTAAGTGACCTTTATTTGTGTAAATTTTTCCTTACTCCACCTTTGCAACAGTTCTAAATTAATTAGATTTCTAAATGCTTCTAATACTTAAGTAACTGTCCCCTCCCTTTGTTGATGGCTAGTGATAGATTATTTCATTTTTAATAAGATGTTCTTTGACAGTACCTATTACAGAATTATGTGAAAATTCTTTTTAATGTTAAGTCTCCCTGCTATCATATGATGACCTGGTTCACTCCCCAAATGTCTGCAACGGCCACAGGCAGAGCTAAGTCAGGCACCAGAAACTCAATTCTGGTATCTTACCTGGTGGCCGGAACTCAGTGGCCGGAGCCATCACCACCACCTCCGAGAGGCTTTGGATACAAACAGGAAGCTGGAGGCAGGAGCCCACACTGAACCCTGGTATTCACATATGGGATCCAGGCATCTGTTTTAGCATTAACTTTTAGGATTAATTGAAGAATAGATAAGACAACAATATTACAGTGGCACAGAATAGATATTAAATTACTTTTAATTCTTTGCTAATTTCCCATATTTCCAGCTCACAAAGATGGGAAAACAAATGATAGGGGATTCATTAGGTATGAGTATAGAATCTCCAAAAGGTGGAGCCGCTATTCAGAGAGGAAAAGTTTAATGGTTATTCATGCTAGACAATAAAACAAAATAACTATATGGCATTTTACATTATCCTTGATACAGATGCTAGATTCATATCCAATAAATACTTATGTGCAACACACAGTTACTGGGGATGTCTATGTCTTCCACTGTAAGAGCTCTACAATCTCTTTTAATTAGTACTTCACTTTCAGTACCTCTATTTTTTTAAAGTTTAATTATTTACGTCTGCTTATTTGAAAGGCAGAGTGCTATGGATAGAAACAGAGTGAGGCAGAGGTGGAGAGAGAGTCTTCCATCCACTACTTTGCTTCCCCAAATGTCCATGACTGCTAGAACAGGCAGGTTGAAGGCAGGAGCTAGGAACTCCACTGGGTTTCACATGTGGGTGGCAGGAACCCAGTGCATGAATTATCCTCAGCTGCCTGCCTCCTAGGTTGTACAGGAAACTGAATCAAAAGCAGAAGCAGCATTCTGATATGGGATTGTAGGCATCCCAAATGGTGACTTAATGTGCTGTGCCATAAAAACTCATCCTCTATATTTGAGATAAATATTGAAATAAAAATTGAGATAAATGACCTATTATGTGAAAGATAGGATGCTGGAATAGAACCGTGTTAAAAATAACATGTGAAAAAGTGCTTTAAAATAAATAACTTATGGAATTTCAATTTAACAAAAATTTGAGGATACGAGTACTTATTATATTATAGGATATCTAGGTAAATGACAAAAAGTGTTTTGTTTCTTTTATTTAATCAAACATGTCAGTTTTGTTTTTTCTGTTTA